AATCAAAGTCACACTCGACCACTACTTTTTTATTACTCTGCTAATCATGCGTCAACTACAAACCTCGAAATACAGGCATTTAAGATAGCTTTTATATCATTCTCTTGTTTATCACAAATCATTAGTCTGGAGAGGCATTTCGTTTAATACCAGAACTCATCAGCTGGGCTAAGCCTCTGACAATCAAAAAGTGTATCTCAAATGTTACTTGTGTGCAACATAAAAGAACAACTTAATGCAGTAATGCCAAATGTCATAATGAACCGATTATTAATAACATAAAAAAATAAAACATACAGTCAATAATGATTTAAATCAAATTATAATTTTGATTACCATTTACCGACTGGAACACCCAAGTATTATTTTACTTTTTAAATCGTCTTAATCAGTTTGTTTGTTTCAGAATTTTTGCGAATAGTTACACAAAGAGCTATGTATGGACTGATAGACTAGAAGAAGGGCATCTAGTCAACAACCCACCGCCAACGTTTGGGATATTATTTTCTGAATAAATAGTGGATTGACAGTCACTTTTATAGCGCACCCATGGCCTCAAGGTGCTGATTGCTACAAACCATAAAATATCAGAATCATAAATCAAGAACGTTAACCAATAAACACGCCGACCTCATTATAACCAAAATTTAGTGTATTATTCAATCAATAACTTTGTAGACGAATTTCTTATTCTGGAAATGTTTTATTTTTTCACTTTTGCGGGGGAGATAAATTATTTTGACATGTTTTTTGTACTAGAAATGTTCTTAAGACGACTCATTTTCTAATATGGTTATAAAACTCGGCAACTGTTTAAACAAAAACTATAGGTTAGTGAATAATAAAATCTGATATTAATTTATTTAATGGAACATACTTGAGTTTGTCTCGTTTTTCGTCTGACATTACATTATCTGCATTTTGTTTTCTACTATTTATTAACTAGAGAAATTTATCTAAAGAAGAAATAATTTCTGCAAGTTTATATAACAACAATGATAACATAACAGCATAATAATACGCACCATAAAAAACCTATTAGTTTCGATAGGCCTAGCTTTTTATTCTCCATTGCATTATTATGCTGATGTTTTAGTGTTTTTAAAGACATATAAGTAATTTATTTTCATATAAATGGCTCATAACATAGGATTGTATTTCTAAATACTTTATATAACCATATATATATACTTGTGTACTTATGAAATGCAAAGATAATATAATATAGCCTATCTTACCACGTTTTATAGTTGTTCAAAGCAACTTGGCAATTTCAAGAGAAGACATTAAATCATCCAATAAATTTAAAATTTTCCTACGTAAATACTGATTTTAAAGTACCTATCTGATGTGCTTCTGTAATAATACGGTGAACTGATGAAAATATTTTGTTGTTTTTCAAATGTTCTACTACATACTGAAGAGATTTAGACGTTTTGACAATAAAGCTTGAAAACTTATTACAACGTCTATGCGTGTTATTTTGTTCTTATAACTTAATACAACGTCTATGCGTGTTATATTGTTCTTATAACTTATTACAACGTCTATGCATGTTATTTTGTACTTATAACTTATTACAACGTCTATGCGTGTTATTTTGTACTTATAACTTAATACAACGTCTATGCGTGTTATTTTGTTCTTATAACGCACCTGCAACTATCGATTGAGTACAATGGATCCTCAGATTCACATTCCGGCACGTTAAGGACTAGGTCGCGCTCCGTCCAAACCCCTACACATTTTAGTTTCCCGTGAATAAATTTATTTTATTTATGAGTTCTTTTACGAGCCAGAGGGTCTTCACACCAGACAAGACTTCACATAAAGAAAACATTAAATGATTTTTAAATTAAGCAATTCACCTTCTTATACGTATATATAATATTATAGTTATTAGATAAATATTTCATTTGTAAATAGAAAAACTTGATTAGAAAAGGGTTAAACATAAATACAAATAAGAATTATAATTTTGGTTTTTTTGTGTGTGTTTATGTAGAAGCCAGAATGCATTTTAAGCATAAAGAACGATTAGTGTCGTATAGTTATATTGCTTCGCTTTTAACTTACAGACATGATTCACTAAGATTAAGTTAATAATTTTCTTACCTTTCAAGTGTTACTGCCATTAGGTTGAAAACGGAAGCGAAAGCAGAAACCGTCTCGGCATAAGCTGCAGTCTTACAGATTGTACCATCTTTATCCCACTGTATGACAAAGTAATGAGCGACATCTAGAGGGACATATATAACCAGGAGTAGAAGGTCAGCAACGGCCAGGCTGACAAGGAAGATGCTGGTGACATTCCTGGAGGAGTTGTCACAAGTCATGACAGCGATGACAACGATGTTTCCAGTGACACCAATAATAAACGTAATGATATAAGTTGTCATGATAAAGGGGAAGTATGAATTAGTCATCCATGGTATTAACATTTCTTCTGGGTGGGGAAAGTAGATGACATCACTCTGAGGATGATCCGTGGTTGTAATGTTTGATATATTCGCCATTACAGATGATGTCACATTGTCATTTTTTTCCAGTACAGAATAAAACAGGGCATTGTACATTATCGTCGTTACGCTGTCATTCATGACTGAGAAACTTCAAGTGTCAAGAAAAGCTTTGTGAAAAATGTCACAAGATATTGCACCAATGGTTCTTGATGGATTCTCTTCAACAAGAGAAATGTCCAGTGTCCTCCGATGTTGTGCATGTATATCAATACCACCAACTTTCGTTTCCTACAGATATCATGGCTAAACTTACTGTTCTTGTAAGTAGAAAGGATACGATCAGGGATTTTTTTCTTTCCAGATTAAGTATATGATCTATTAGACAAAACACTTACTTATCTGAAAAAAAAACAAAAACTTTTTAATTTGAGCACTCAGTATGAATAATAATACATAAACATATAAAACCTGGAGTTACGAAGATTACAAAGAATATAAATAAACATTTCAATTCATAGCTAACTTGGATGATAAGGATTTTTATATGGAAATTTTCTTTTCTGTGAGCCACTTTTATTAACACAACTTAACGTTGTGAAAATGTAAAAAACTTTCAAGATTTTATTAGAAGGAAATAAAAGAAATAATGGTTAAGTTTCGATTCTATGAAAATTGTATACAGTTGTTAAGATATTGAAAGATCCTTGCTCTATATAGATGTTAATCTAAGAAAATCCAAGTAAAAAAAGAGAAAGAGGGAATAATAAGAATATATTTTTTCAACAAAGTTTTGTTGTTCTAAGAATTAAAAATTATGTAAACTCACTCAGTAGAATATAATTATTTAAAGAATATGAATCCCAGTAAATGATTATATTCACCATCTGTCACTGAGTTTAACCTGTTTCAGGGAAACCTAACCCTAGACAAGGGCAAAAATTGAAAGAATAAGACCCGTCTTTATATAGTGTATATTATACACTAGCTGGAGGACCTGTCTCTTGAACGGAAATTATGTAAATTCAATGAATGGTTATATTAGGACGTGAAAAGTTGCTTTCCTTATATATAATTATAAAAAAACAACAAAAAAAAACGAAAAAACGCTCATAAAATCTGCAAAACACAAAATGTGAAACCGCAAATTTTGATGTCTCTCCACATGGACCCAAACCTTCATGCTAAATTTGGTGAATATGCATTAACAGGGGGCGAAGTAGTGGTAAAAACGCAAAATGCAAAACTGAAAATTTGCATGTATCTCCCGATTGACCCAATAAACCTCATACCAAATTTGGTGAAGATCCATACACAAGAGGTGAGGTAGTGGTAAAAAAACGCATAAACGCCCATAAAAAACCACAAAATTGAAAATACGTATGTATCTTCTCATGGACCCAGTGGACCTCACTACCAAATTTGGAGAAGATGCATCTAAGGGAGGCAAGTAGTCACATGGACATACAACAGACAGTACTATCATATTAGGTCGTCAAGACATTAAATAATGTACATCAAATAATGTACATCACGTATAATAGTTATGCGAACCGCCTAGACCTTACGTTAGTGTACGGTATATAATGTGTAAATATTAGTATTCTCTAATCCTTTGTGATGGTACACGATGAGACACGCATTCGGCACGTAATGCTGTTTGAATACAAGAAGGGAAAGAACGCCTCTGTAGCCACAAATAATATCAAAGACGTTTATGGAAATGTTTTGAACGTTCGTAAGTGTCAACGATGGTTCAGCAAATTTCGTTCAGATGACTTTAGCCTTAAAAATTGTGATGACAGGGGTCGACATGTTGGAATTGATACTGATGCTCTGAAGACGCTTGTTGAGTCTAATCCAAGGCAACACACACGTGAAATGGCCCTGAAATTGCATGTCTCTCATGAAACAATACGTAAACATCTAAGGAATATGAGAAAACTCTATAAAGAAGGTATTTGGGTGCCACACGAACTCTCCGATGATCATCGTTTCCAGCCTGTGAACGTTGCTTCGTCTCTTCTGACGCGTAATGCGCGTGAACCAGTTTTGGACAGAATTGGCACCGGTGCTGAAAAATGGATTCTCTATGCTAATATTAAACGCAAAAAACAATGGCTCAGTGCTAGACAAAAACCAATTCCGACCCCAAAACCCGGACTCCATCCCCAGAAAGTGATGTTTTGCATTTGGTGGGACATCAAAAGTATAACTCATTTCAAACTCCTCAAACTACAGCGAACTGTCAATGCAGAGATCTATAGTCAGCAACTTGAACGTTTAAATCAAGCCCTTCATCAGAAACGCCCTCCTCTTGTCAATCGGAAAGGCGTTTTTCTTCTCCATGACAATGCACGTCCACGTGTGGCACGTTGGACGCAACACAAGATTACGGAGTTGGGCTGGGAAGTTCTCCCCCACCCACAATATTCTCCAGATATAGCACCATCAGATTATCATGTTTTTCGTTCGTTGCCACACCATCCTAATGGGAAAACGTATGCAAATATGAAAGGTGTTAATGAAGGCAGCGAAATGTTTTTTGCTTCAAAG